GCATAAGTATTTAGAAGGTATTACCCGAAATATGTTTAATATGCATTATGATGTGTTATCGTGCATTTAACTCTACATAATTATACAACTTTGGGGGTGCATTGCCATACCTGGGAAATGTATTAGTTCGTTTTGCCCAGGGTGTGTCTGTGCCCAGTGCCAGGCATGTCCACCAATCAGCAGGCCTCCTCCCTCTGCCACAAACTCTCGGATTTCCTTCGCATGTTTATCGCTGCCCGCTGGGCTCACAAAAACACTCAGACCTTCCTTGAACTCTGTCCTCTCACACTTTAACCCTGATTTGCTGAGAATACCGAGGGCATGTTTTGATGCAATTCCAACGACCCCCTTCCGACCTTCATCCAGCCAATGAATGGCATTGTTCCAAAACGGAGCCAGTGTCTGTATTGAGACAGTTATCACAAGAAAGGAAGCAATTTGTTAATCACAAACAATTCTGATGGCTATAATGTGTAACAAAATAAATAATACAATTATCTGTCTGAATGAGATCATCATTCTTTCAGACGATACATTTCACTACAAGAGCAAAATCTGTACTGAATTTTCACTTTTGAAGGTAGACATTTCTTATTTTAATGTAAACTCTACCTCTCGTCCAAGAAATCCTTCATGTGAAATCACAATGACTCGTCCCTGCCCATAGTAGGATCCTGCCAGGAACGTCTGTCCACCATCGTTGGTACCAATAGGAAAGGCAAGCGAGCCGTGGACCAGAATCTCAGAACTTACTGATGAACCCTGGAGGTCAAACTCTGAAACCCCCGTGAGTAAAAACTCCAAGTCATCCTCAAAATCCTTACCGTTTCTGTTTTTGAAAGAGGACAAGGGAAACATAGATGCCAACTATTTGGGTCAGTCTATTAATAACCATGTAAATCATGTGAAAAGAAAAAAAACACCACTAAATATGGGTTATGTAGTACGTTTTCTCTTTTAATTTGGCTTTTGGAATTTTGGCGTTTTGTTATGAATATCTAAATGACAGGAAAACCACTGGTGCATGGCATAATCCTCGGGTCACAAACAGATCCTGACAAACAGCAGCTATGGCATATAATTATTATGATATACATAATATACTTAATGTAATGTATGGTACATAATATATTTGTCACAATAATTCCAACATGAATAATAGCATCATAGACACGTGGGCAAAATATTCCAAATAGAAGGTGTTCCTCTCAAATATTTTTTAAATGTGCAATAAAAGAGAAGTAGAGTGTACACTTACACCACAGCCATCCATGACGATGGAACCTGAGGGTAGACAGGTAGATGCTCTATCTCACCGCGACTCTTAGAGAAGTAGATCCCTGCCACACCAGACACTTTATTCCCCTCAAACTGCAGCAGCGTGTTCTCTTTCGGATGGTTTGCAGCCCAGTGCCACGCCTGACCTGCTATCAGCACTCCTCCTCCAGCTTTCATGAATGCCACCAGGTTCTTTGTGTCAGCACCCATGCTGTAGGCATCTGTCACATAGACGCCAAACTCCCGGCTGTCACCTAAAGAACCAACCATTTTGACCTGGAAGCTGGATTTGCTGAGGTTATCAGCGACTGCCTTCACTTTATTGTTGACCCCCACAGTGAGGTTGTCAGATCCTTCTCCTCTCAGCCAGGTCAGAGCGTTCTCTACCAGAGCGGGAAAAGCGGTCAGGTAGCCCTCATGACCGAGGACCACAATCCTCCCACTGCCGTACAGAGAGGCTGCCATCAGGGTCTGGCCTCGGCTGTTCATTGCTAAAGGAAAGGAATGGTCTCCAATCAGCAACAGGTCACTGGGAACACAAGGGCCACGAAGGTCCAGCTCTTTCAAGCCTTTCATCAGGGACAGGTAGGCCCCTTCATTTTGATTTTGGGTGGGCTGGTTGGACATGGCTGGAAGGGTTGATGCACTGAGGGTTCACTGAAGAGGGTGGACAACAGGATAGCAGAAAAAGGTGTGGGTGTTAACAGTTCCACCTAGATGTTTGTTGTGCCAGTTGGTTTTCCAGCTGGATAAGAAAAAACAGAGAGGGAGGGATTCAAACAAGCATGAAGACCGAAAGTTTAGCTGTCAAGTGCCAACAAAAAGAGTTTACAAATCTGCATTACAACCAAACACTACCTTAAAGCAAAGGTGTTTACATTACCTGTAAGTCCAGTTTTCTTTTGTCTTGTATTAGTAGGCAGGCAATCAACCAACGACACTACCTGGCGGAGAGAGGAGTGAAATAGGTGAGAGTGAGAACCGGATGAACATTGCAGAGGTAATAACAAAAAGGGGAGGGACTTCAGTGAGCATATCCTAGTGAGAGGCTATTATTGCCTCAGGGTTCTCAGTGTGTGAATATGAGGCGTTGGACTGAGATACACCCTGAAATAACCTAACCTAAAAACCTGCTCATCATGTAAGAGCAAGTCAATGTTTGTAGATGTTGAGAGGGCAGGACATTGGAGCTTTGCACTCGACCAATAAGCCTATCTTAGTTTCTTGAAGAAATGTATGATGACCATTGAAGAACATTTTAAATTAAATGATAGTTCAAGTGGAGTGCCAAGATATGTGACGTGTGAGCCTTTTGTCAACTTTCTAAACATTTTTTCAACATGTAAATTGTGAATTACAATAAATAATATTATGTGAATGTAAAATGCAAGCTGCTTTTCTTTAATAAGCTTTAAGCAGCTCTCTCATATGCCTCTACAATAGATCAACAAAAGTGCTCTTCTAAACAAAAGGATTTTCTGCAACCAGACAGCCCACATGCATTACAAAACCTGTCCATCCTGTTATGGAAGCTGCTACAAAAAAAATCAAACGATATTATCAGACAGTGACGGGAGAAAATGACAAGCAAAAAGTCAAATTGCGCTTATACCAGTAAATGCATAGGTGGAACGTTTATCATTTTATCCAATGTGTTCGTTTGACCTAGCTTTCTTCCTTAGCCTAACTCTTGTCTTTGATTACATGTGTATGTGCGTCACTGTTCTGCGCAACACACAACCTAAACTCCTTAAATCGCGCAAAAAAGGACATTTAGGTGATGGTGAAATCACAAAGTGAAAAAAAGTCTAATTTACCATTCCGTTGTATCAATCCCTAACAAATTACGTTACATTGTTAGTCCACAGATAACATATAATCCTTGTTTGGGTGTGTATGGAATCCCGGAAAAGTCAAAGTCAAAAGCGGAACCTTCGAGGGGAGCATGTTTCCGAACGACCGTATTTTTATGATGGTCTGCGTCTACTCCACTACAAAACATGCTCCATCCGGTTCGTTTTTCCTTCACTCAAACAAGCAACTCAGTAACAAAGAAGTTGGGGCGAAACTAGTAATGTTGCATATTTATTAATATACACAGCCCCCTTGTTGCGTTAAGTAAAACTTCTATGTTTGAACTATTCATGCACATTGTGTATTGTTCAGAGTAAGGCGGCAGTATTGCTGTGCAGGTGCCCGCTCGCATGTCGTGTTTGCTGGTTGGTCCCTCCGGAGCCCGGGTCCCTCTGGAGGACCGACGAGCAGTGATTCTGGGCCGGGGGCCTGACACGGGGGTCACCGACAAGAAATGTTCCAGGCACCAAGGTGAGGAAAATGTCAAAGTAAAGGCATTGGTGCTTCCCCTTGTGACAGTACGCGCGGGCAATTTATTGTCAAATTGAGTCTATTAAGCTGCAGGTCTGCTGCAACTATGATTTCTTAAATCAAATAATAATACTTTTTGCAGTACAACATTTATTCTGAGATTTTAAACTCGTCTTATTCCACTATCGGTTTTTAATTTTCAATTTGCATGGCTCTAAAGTGATTTTGAAGTTTTAGGTTTGATATTCGACAGTCAATGTGGTTTTATTAATCCGTTTCAGACTGACCAATCCAATGACACAAAACCAATGTTATTTTCAATAACTCCTTGCTAAATAGTTCATCAATTAAACGTATTATTTACTTTCATTTCATTAAAAAAATCATATGAAAATGCACTTGGATCCAAAAAAAAGAGGTGTGTCCTACTTTTCATGTGTAGTAATCATAGACTGTGTATAATGTAGTATTACAATTCTGAATTTAGACTGACTGGGTCACATAGCATGAAAGTTGTTGAAAAAACCAAGAGTATTCAATAAAAAACTGCATTAAAATATGCATTTAAAACAGAGATAGCACTACAATCCATTAAAAGAATATGTGGCTTGTGTGTCGAGTGCGATATCACACTATCACACAGGACATTGGAAGCTATTATTCAAAAAATCATACTTTTAATAGAGAAAGATCTGAATTTTCACAACAACACTATTATGAAATAGCACCTAAATAACATGTAAAGAGATATGTTACAGACAGTAATATATTTCTTTATGGTTTTTGAGCCATAAAGTGTTTAATAAAAAACTAACTTATAGTAAAAACCAATAAAACTGGTAGTGTCCTATTCGTCCAGTAATTATGTCACATAAGATACATTTATTATAATTTCCCCTAATATGGGCAATTTAGTGCAAAGGTATTGAACATTAGTTTTGTGTCTTTCAAGTGGTAAATTATTGGTGAATTGTAATCTGGAACCTTGTTTTAAACAACTATTTAAAAAACCTCTTTGCAGTGTTGTTTAATAAATAGTGACTTAAACTACAAAATAATTATCAAGTTGTTATAAATGAGTTTACTTATGTTTTCAGCTCTAAATCAAAAGCCAAATATGTGTGTGTCTGTATGTTTATATGATAATACTAATCCCTTTTTATTTCAGTGAAGGTGGTGGCTTGCTATGCAGACCAGGATGTGCTTGTTACACAGGTATGAAAACAAACACTTAAGCCCCACCCACATATCTCAGTTTATAGTTCAGTTAGTCTCCCTGTGAAGCTCTCCGACTAGAAAAACACCACTGCTCGACACACTAGACAACACTGGCAGGACATTTGGGCTGACCCAGCATTGTCAAGTATGTACTTCCTGACAAGACTCCCCTGGTGCGCATGTGGGATACTTGGGCACGAGGTGGAATCACAAATAATAACTAATTATTATATTCATATTCACTACTGTTACCCACAGATATTTCCTCTGTTTACTGAGGACAGGCCTTCAGCAAAGTACTAAGGTGCAACAGAGAAAACAAGTGTTGATATTTAAATTCTGAACACAAATACTTAGGACAAATCATCGCAATATAATGTCAGATAAGCATTGCGTCACAAACAAAAAACATCATGTCTTCAGTTTTTTGTTTGTGACGCAATGCTTATCTGACATTATATTGCGATGATTTGTCCTAAGTATTTGTGTTCAGAATTTAAATATCAACAC